ATCAGAAACAGTAAATAGAAAATTATGTTTGTGTGAGATGTGATTACTCATAGATGAATATAAGTATAAGTTGTATGATTTGTTGATTATTTTTTTGTTTGTTTACAGTTTTCCCGTCTAAGCCTTATTTCAGATTGTCTGTTTGGATTCATTGTATTATAGTTTTATCCAAAGAGCTTTTCTAGACTAATTTGACCTGAATCCATCAACACTGAAACAAATGCTGGTAAAATTTGAGCTAGCCAAGATTAAATCTACAGCATAAAAATGTATTTAATTCTAATGATCAGAATTTTTTTGAGATGGTCTCTTCAATTATTCAGAATGAAATAACCATATCTGCATGTAAAATGAAAGTGTTATTTGAAAAACAAATACAAAAACACCCTCTTTGATTTCAAATTCATTACAAAAATGAAACTAAGCCTGGTTGTTTGGGTTATGCAATGCATGACAAAATGGAAGAAGACTAGTACATACACACAAGACCTTTGGGGGAAAAAATTAAAAGGAGACCGAGAAGTTTACTTCTTCTAAAGCTACTTACGACTTCTTTAAAGCTCTGTATGCAAATAAGTAATGTATTATGGTTTTCCTGGAGAAAATAATTTGTGTTGCTGTGTGTTACATCACGATGTATTCCTGTTACATAAGAACAACGTAAACATGAGGCTACTGTCGCTCACAGTAACACAATTTCCAACCGTAACAAGAACATACAGTACAGAGGGTCTTTCTTTTAGTGTTGTAAGTTTGAACACAATGCTCTATACACTCAGCTTTAACATCATTCTGGGTTGATTCAAAGCGTTGTGTTAGCATGCTGTCTGTACAGATGTTTGCAAACATCTGATGTTGTGTTAGCAGTTTAATGCAGCTGTTTATGTCCTGGATGGGGTTTGCATGTTACCATCATGCTCGTGTCCCTTCATAGCCAAAAAAATAAAGAAAAATAAAATAAAAATAAAAGTATTGTCCAAATCTCCACCATTTCCTCTTCCCTGCACAAACCTTTGTTTCTATGACTGTAATACAGGAAGAAAATTAAAGTAATTAGAACTGAATGCAAAAATCAAGGCTACAAATAACTAAATTAGCTTAATAACAAAATTAGGCTTCTGTAAGCAGTTTTAAGACTTGTTTAAACTAATTTAATCTCTTAATCTTAATTTCTTCTTTTCTTTCTTCTTTTAAAGGACTAATTGTCTAAATATGTGGGTATTCATAGTAGATTTGCTAAAATGTTAAAATTCACCTAAAATAATCAATTTCAATTCATTTATTTGATAGTGTGCCCGACACAAGTAGACATTGCTTTTCTGTTGGATGGTTCAGGCAGCGTCTCTGTCCCTGATTTTCAAACAATGATGAAGTTTGTGGAAGATCTAATCCAGGCATTTCTGTCAGTTGATGCACAGGTAAGACACTGTACTACCTTTCAGTTATATCGTATTACAGACACAAATAGTTTCACCTGCTTTTTATTTATCTCCATAAAAAAAGGCTATTTTATATATTTTTTATATTGTTTCTCCCTTTCTTCAGTTTTCTGTTTCCCAGTTTTCCTCGTTACCTCGGGTTCATTTTTATTTCAAGAAATTTTCCTCATCTGGATCACTAAAGACTGAAATCGATGGAATCACACAGCTGGAGGGATC